TAGCTTTAAGACTTTTGTCCCATAACAGGCAAAGAAATCATTCAGCAGTATTGTACTGAGATTTTAGCTGAAGGGTCCATTTCAGTGTTGAACACTTTCATAAAGCAAGGAAAAAACCTTTAATTTTGGGACTGCGAAAAGGAACAATGACATAGAATAACACAGAGATTGGTTACTTGGTTAAGAGCCATGCAGCTTAAAGAATTCAAGTTTCTCTTATTCCAAAGGAGATCAGGTAAGATTTCATGCCTTTCCACAACAAAATTAAGACAATGGAACACAAATTTGTTACAAGTATCTTTCCAAAGACTCAGGCTAATCCATTCAAAATGCTTTGCAGTTATGAAAACTGAAGCCATATTTATGCAGTAGGAATAAGAGAAAGAATTGGACCAAACTAGACGATAATCAGCTGTGTGACTACTATTCCTTTTATTTATACTAATCAAAATTAATATATATTCACTCTAGCAGTTTGAAAGATAATGAACTATTTTCAGAATGGCTTTGCAGTATTCTCTAGGGAATAACTGTTACTACAGAGTTAGAGGAAAATTGCTCAAGAAGGAAAACCACTGAAAAAATTGAAGCTGTTAACTCCTACTTGAGGAAAAGTTACCATTTTAGGCCTGCTGTCAGTTGATTTAATGCTATTTGAAGTGTCAAGTAAGCCCTTCAGCATGATCACTAAGGCAAGGACATATTTTGTACTAAAATAAGACAATTTACAGCATAAGAGACTGACAGGTTCAGAAGCCGGGCTTGTTTTCAATCATACAGGTAAAAATCACTGTGGGCATTACATAATTAGGCAAAGAACACACCTCAGAAACAGCAAACCAAGCGCTACATGCCTGATTATAGAACTTACCTACAAACAAGAACCAAATTCCTACTGGAACACCATATTTCCAAAGCTAGATTTGCCTATCAATTAATGGCACAGAAATGAGATAGCATTTAATGTAGCAGAACATGGAGTAGCAAAGTTAATTAACAGACAACCCTGCCAGCTAGCTGAATATATGTATCTGCAGATGAAAATACTCATTTTGATACTGGTTTTGCACTCCAGGGTCATAATAGAGTCAAAATAAGACCATTAGTAAATATAACAAGCTGATACTGATGAGCTTAATTTGTAATGCAGTAACAAAAACTTAACACCTAGTTTGTAGCTTCAGCCCAAACTGGTTTTCACATCATTAGGTAGCCAGAAGACATCAAGAGGAAAAAAAAAAAAGAAGTCTACAGTAGAATCCATATTTACTTTGGCACACACATGACATCTCTGTCCTTGACTGTCAGCTCTTATTTTAATATTACTCACATTTTGGTTTACTTTCTCAAGCAGCATTACATTTCTTTAAAGACATATCACACACATTTTATGTCTGTAGTTTATTTTTTATATTGCCCTATAACGTTATGTTTTATATATGCCATATGCCAGAAGTTATTCCTAACCTGAGCTAGTTCATAACTCTTTAAGCTTCCCCACAACTTCTTGCACCCAGTAGTTTTCATTGCTGTTTGCTTCCTAGGTTATAAACAGCTTTTAAGCCCTTACCCTTCTACTAAAAGAATCCAAGAATATCATTCCTGTGAAGGTGGTTAATTTAGAAAGCAGATTAGAATCTCTCACAGCCCATCAATAACTATTAGAACTGGACACTACGGTGTATAGTTGATCTTTGAGCAAACTGCCATGTATTGCTGGCACGCATATGAATGATTTAATGGTTTGGTCACTGAAACTAAATGCTTTCTAAACTGTTTTCACCCATGAAGTAACCTTTGCAGCTCTGCAGCTCTCTTTGCATTCAGAAGCCACGCAAAGAACTTAAAACAAGCAGGCTGAGACTTGCTCCCAGGACTGGTCTAACAGCTACTGGAAGATGCTAACCTAAGATCCACAAGCTGCAACTGAAATAAGAGCAGTTTCCCTCAGCCTCTTCAAATAGTGGCCAAGGGTGCTTTTAGCCACTTAGCCCGCAATCATAGAAACAGAATCACAGAATGGTTGAGATTGGGACCTCCTGAGGTTTTGTAGTCCCCTTGCTCAAAGCAGGCTCATCCACAGCAGGTTACACAGGACCTTTCCCAGTCCAATCTGGGGTTTAAGTATCTCCAAATACAGGAAGGCTTCACGCTCCCAGCGTGTCCACTGGGGAGCCCAGAACTAGATACAGCACTCCAGAAGGGTATCACTGGTTCCAAGCCGAGGGGATGGATAACCACTGCTACTGATGCCCATCCCAGTGCAAGCCAGAGTACTGCTGAGTCTTTGCTGCCACAAGAGAACACTGCTAGGTCACACTCAACTTGTCTACCAGCCAGAGGTGAGGCTGGTGAACAAGTAGAGAAAACCCCCCAACCTTTCTTTCAGGTTCCTACCTAGGTTATAGTGCCTACCCAGTAACAATATAGTCTTGATATATAAGAAAAATGAAAATCAGGCAATAGACATGACCAGGTTCACTATACAGCAATGTGCTTCTGAACCCTGCAGTGGTGGAGACATTTATCAAAATGACAGTTGAGACTACAGTAAACAGAAAGATTAGTTTGGACCAGAGAATACTACCACAGTATTTTGTAATCTGTACAGCAAAGTTACATTACTGAACATTAAGAGGATATTTCAATGCTCATGTCCTTCAGCAAGAAAGGAACAAGAAGAAACACAGAAGTTGTCCTATTACACCAGCAAACACACAGATTCTGCATAATAAGTAAGTCTCATTACCAAACTGTTGTAAAAGCTGTTCACAATGATTATCAACATACAGTAAGGACAACTGAGTACCAAGTTATACCAAGACCGAAGGAAGCCCATCCATCCTTATTTAGCCAAAATGTAAGCTTTAATATTGAGTAAAATGCATAGTGTTAGCAAACTATGTGTTAGCAAAACAAAAAAGAAATATGGCCTCAGTGCATTCAACATGTGCAACACAGTTCTGTGTTGTTCAAGCTACTTTGATGTTATGCAAATAAAAATACTTCAGCTTATTTAACTTCTGCCTTCAAGCCTATTTAAAACTTAAAAACAAAACAACAAAAGTTTCTATTCAGCAAGCAGAATGAAAAGCTTTAAGGCTTTGCAAATGCAACACTCTCTACTGCAAGGTCTTGCAGTGTATCACAACAGACTTCCATGCTCATGTGTAAACCAAAGCTGAGCGTAACAGGCATCACAGAACTTGCTATCAAATGGAAAATACTTCCCTAGTGCTTTTTCAGCAGACCTAGTAGGTAGGGTAGCATGATGATTCAGCAGGAGATTAGCTCCTGCTCCAAACAGAGGGAAACATCTACCAGAAGTGGAAGAGCTGCTGTCCATTCAGCTGCAGTTATCCCAGAGTAATTGTCTTGGTTTTTTGATTTACATGCATGGGCTACCTTCAGTGAGACACAGCAGCCTCTTCAGTGACTTTCTTCAGGACTATTTCCTATCAGCAGTTTGTAACCCACTACTCCCTTCCCTTCAACCTCTACTAGCTGCTTCCTTGGTATTTACTGAAATCTGTGCTGTGTTGAATGGAATCAGAGTAGTAAAGCAGTCAAGAAGTAACAGACACGTGAAATACGCTCCTTGTCCAAGACAGAATGGGTACATATGCTATAGTGTGACATCAGTAACAGAAATATCTTCTCTTGACTAGCCCAGAGAGATGTGTTCAATTATGTCAAAGGCAAATCACAGAAGTTGCAGCTACACTCGCAGCATCTTTATAGAAGAAAGATTTAAACCACAACAGTTTCATGCCTTCTGGAATCAGGAATAACAAAAAAGCTTGAAGATTCAAGGAACAAAAATTTACAATTCAAGACCTTAGAACAAGCTTCCAGTACCCAAAGGGGCCTACAAGAAATCTGGAGAGGGACTTTTGACAAGGGCATGTAGAGACAGGACAAGGGAGAATGGCTTTAAACTGGAAGAGGGGAGATTCAGATTGGATGTTTGGAAAACATTCTCCCCTGTGAGGGTGCTGGTGCTGGCACAGTTTTCCCAGAGAAGCTGTGGCTGCCCCATCCCTGGCAGTGTTCAAGGCCAGGCTGGACAGGGCTTGGAACAACCTGCTCTAATGAAAGTGTCCCTGCCTGTGGCAAGGGGATTGAAACTAGATGAACTTTAAGCTCCCTTCCAACCCAAACCAATCTGCGATTCTATGACTACCAAGGATCAAATAGCAAGTGCTACCTAAAATCAGCAAAACATGATTTATCTAAATAAGCAGCAAATCTTAAAGCATCAGTTTTTGTGTCCTTGTGTCTGACAGGACCACAGTGCAGATTCATTGTTCTGCATAAAGAAGATAAATCAAGGTGCATGAACTCCAAGCACTCCATAAACCATCCCGAGATGGAAGCAAAACCCACCAGATAGCCAGTGATAAGTAAAGTGACAACCACAGAATTGTCAATTGCTAAATAAATCAGCAAGAAGTTTCTATGGATATAGTGGCTACTAAAAAACCTAAACTGAATCAAGATTTATCTTCCAAGGTGTAAGCCAGCTTTCCTCTCGATGCACTAAATAATAGGATGATTTGATAAAACACTTGTTCCTGCAATCAGCATATGCTATTCTGCTCAGTCTGGCCACCTATGCGTATCACCTAAGTGTTACTAGACAGATGGAAAGCTCCACCAACTGCTTAATCAGCAGCCCAAAGGCCTCTAATAAGAAGTTCTGTATGACATTTGAGAGCTACTTGAAGTTTTAATAGGGCAATGTGTTTATCTAAAGCATTCAATTTGTGACTACAAGTTATGCCTTCAATTTCTACTTATTTAATATATTAACATACAATTTATGTCAAGTAAGGAGAACAAAGTTAGGCCTAAAAAGCTTAACTAATAAACATCAGTAATGAGGTCACAATAATATGTAAGTATAGCTGCTACAGGGCTAGCTAAACCAGCTTGTGCTTATTTCCCAACTTCCTCTTTACTGCTGTTTTGTTAGTGAGATAGTGCACATTGCTACCAACCTCAATACCACTTTGTCTCGCTAGTTTTACAGCTGTATTGTAGTAGCCACAGCGTAGAAGATGTTCCACCATCATACGATCCATACGTTTCTTCTTCCACATGTTTGCAGCAGCTGGCTGGTCACTACTGTGCTCCTTCAGATGTTCAATCCTACGTTTGCAAAGTTTTGCACTTTCATCTTCAGCCTGGATTGATTCAACTGCCTAAAGAAAAAGTAACAGGGACAAATAAGAGCTATACATATGCAAGTTGGTTTTAAAGCAAAAGAGAGTAAGAATTGTTTGCAAAGATTCTTTACATACTACACAGTTACTCCCAGTAGCATTGCTTTCATTTAGAAAGACATTTCCTATAGCAGTGCATATATTTCAGTGTGGCTGGTCCAGTTCTGAGACATTCATGCATATTAATAAGTTTTGATTTATTTGACACGGAGTATATACAGTTTTCTTCTTAATGTGCAGTTAGTCTGAAAACAGCAACATATCAACTGCTGTAATAGTCTGCAAAGAGCTTTGTGAAGGTCTGCAGCCATCTGGTCCAAGCAGCTGAAAACCATGAATTTCCACCTCTAACCTATGCATGGCTTCTTCCTCAAGCAGCTGTCCTGCTGAATTAGTTCTGCTGAGGGGTGATGCAGAGTAAACCCACATTACTTCTAATGCACTGGAGCCATTTTAATCAGTCATGCAATAATGAAAATTACATAAACATTTGGCCTCATGGCACTTTTAATTCAAGGATCTTAAGAGTAGTTTTGCAGAAGTTACCAGATTTTACTTCTGTGACTGTGGGAACATGGATCTACTGTTAGAAGCTTTACTTAGGAAAGCAAATTTGTTCAGGGGAAGCAGAACTGACTGTGTTTTAAACCAACTTACTGACATGCTCAGTGCAAAACACACACTTCAAAGTACCTCCACTAAGTAAAAAAAAACCCCAACCCACTCAGGTTCCCTTCAACCTTATAGTTAGTTATACTGCAAATTTTACCAGGCAAGTTTTATGACAGACATACTGTAATTCAAAGCCAGCTGACTCAGTGTACAGCACGTGACAACTGTGGGTCATGCCGGGCTACAGCACACAAGAAAGCTTTGCAGTACTTTTATATGCTGGCAAAGGTAAAAACAAACCAGAAGACAAAGGAAGTTTAGTACCTCTCCCATCTGTGATACATCACTAGTGATGCAATTTCAGGTTAGGCTGCCTTCTGTGTGGTGGCGTTAAACTTGCTGGCTTGTGTTTGAATAACTGCACAGCTGTGGCAAAAGGGAAGTCCATGCAAATTTGCCAACCTGCTTTAGGCAACCCACTCTGCACTCCATGCTGGCACTGGTAATCTTCCCAGTACTCAATTTATTCAACACTATTCAAGCCTACACTATGTGATGTCCTCAACGACATGGAGCTGTTGGAGCAAATCCAAAGGAGGGCCACAAGGATTGTAAGTGGGCTCGAGCACCTCCCATGCAAAAACAGGCTGAGAAAGTTGGGGCTGTTCAGCCTGGAAAACGGAAGCTGTGTGGAGACCTCAGAGCAGCCTTCCAGTATCTGAAGAGGGCTACAGGGATGCTGGAGAGGAGCTCTTCATCAGGGACTGTAGCAATAGGACAAGGGATGAGGGGTTTAAACTTAAACAGGGGAAGTTCAGGTTAGATATAAGGAAGAAGTTCTTTACTGTGAGGGTGTGAGGCACTGAAATGGGTTGCCCAAAGAAGTGGTGAATGCTCCATCCCTGGCAGTGTTCAAGGCCAGGGTGGACAGAGCCTCGGGCGACGTGGTTTAGCGTGAGGTGTCCCTGCCCATGGCAGGGGGGTTGGAACTACAATGACCTTAAAGTCCTTTCCAACCCAAACCATTCTATCATTATGATTTTATCATCCCTGGGTAACAGCCCCAGCTCTGGAAGCACAGGTTGGTTCCATTTGCTTTTACCATGCACACTTATTTACAGACTACTTCTGAAAGGATCATTATTTGAAAAGCAAAGTGAAATAAATGTCAACTTGTGCAAGAAATGCCTACCAAGCATTTGCCACAATTAAGCCTGACTCTGATCTGTCCCTTGATACCAAGTTCAAGTATCTAAACCTTAATCATTACACAAGACAGTACTTTACCAAAATTTATGTAAACAACTATAGCCTGATTTATTTTTATTACTAAAGTCTGAGTTATTTCTATTGCTGAATTTAGCTTTATTTTGTAACATACTGTTTGGAGATCAGTATTTTAAGTTATAAACTGAGTCTTTTCCTATTCAGGAAGCAAACACTCAGGCCAAAACTCACTTTCATTTGTTATGTCTGTAATATCACCAGCTATGAAGGCAACCTCTAGAATTACACAACTAGGAGAACTCAAGGCAGCCAAGCACAAATGTTGAGCCCTTTCATGTTCCAAAGGGTTTTCCCTGTATGGTTTTGTATCTGGACTTACACAGCTATTGCTAGGGTTTTTTTTAATCTTTCTAGTGTATTCAGAAAGGCTACAGAGCCTTTTCAAAACCCTCTGAAGCAAGTCTAGCAGGACTTGCCTGGCTGGGCATTAACAGAACTTGAGGGAACATGCATATTAAACAGGATACAAAAGGGAGAACAAAAATGCCTAGGTTTCCCCAGGATCATTTTCAGAAGCCAAGAAACCTGCTGTGTTGAAAAGCTCTTTTTTAAGAGCAAGTAAGGTGTTAACTAAAGGAACCATCTAATTCTATTATGGCCATCTCAGCAGTTCATCAGATCCTTGTCTACACACGAGGAAACAGAGGCCCCACATGGGTCCAGTGGCCCTAAAGAAAACAATCATTTTGCTCCAGAAAGAGATTACAGAGAAGACAGTTGAAGTTGAGGGTCTGGAGCAGAAACAAGACCTTTTATTTCAGAAGATTTACTGTTAAAATAGGTTTTTTTTTCCTTGCCTTTTGTTTTTTCTGAGCAGCTCTAAGATTCCCCACAGTCTTTCAGGCAGTCAGAAACAAATGAGCAATTACACTAAAATGGAGCCTTGCACCCAAAACATTCAGCAATGCCTTCAGACACACCCCCGCAGTCAGCAAAGATTTAGCAAGTAAATAACTTACTCCTCCACATCATTACTACACACCTACAAGCAAAATCTGACACCTCTTTCAGAAATAGCAGCAATTTCCTTCTGTAAGTAACAGAAGTGAGGAAAACATATCCTTCAAGACCTCTTTAAGTCTCACAAACCCAAGATGAAAACAGCGACTAGATTTATGAAGTCTTTTGCAGATCAGCTTTTCAACACTTCGCTAACCTGTTCAAGCAGAAACCCCCAAATCAACGTACATGACAGCCTTATTTTCATGTTAGAAACCTCCAAGGTATTTTGATGCTTCACTTAATGTAGTCTCAAGATTTATCTCTGCTGGTTATTTAAGTTTTAATGAAATGACACTGCTACTATTTGTTTCAACTATTTATTTTTGGAGAAGCACTGCTCTAAGGCCAGGCAACAGAACTATTTTCATTTTTCTGCAAGATGTGTTTCAACTAAGTGTCTGATTAGTCTCTGGATGAGCAATATTCCCATCCAAAAGAAGCATTCCTCATACTATATAGTTTGTATTTTTAACTCATTCGTCTTAAATGTGGCAAAGGCATAAAGCTACACAAGTGCCTGGAACCTGATGAAATCCACCCACGGGTCATGAAGGAGCTGGCAAATGAAGTTGCTAAGCCACTCTCCATCATATTTGAAAAATCATGGCAGTCAGGTGAAGTTCCCAACAACTGGAAAACAGGAAATACAACCCCCATTTTCAAGAAGAGGAAAATGGATGACACAGGGAACTACAGAGCAGTCAGTCTCACCTTTGTGCCTGGCAAAATCTTGGAGCAGATTCTCCTGGAAGGCATGCTAAGGCACATGAAAATCAACAAGGTGCTTGGTGACAGCCAGCATGGCTTCACTAAGGGGAAATCCTGCCTGACCAATTTGGTGGCCTTCTATGATGGGGCTACAGAACTGATGGACAGGGGTAGAGCAGTTGATGTCATCTACCTGGACTTGTGCAAAGCGTTCGACACTGTTCCACATGACATCCTTGTCTCTAAATTGGAGCAACATCAATTTGATGGATGGACCACTTGGTGGGTAAAGAACTGGCTGGATGGCCACACACAAAGAGTTGTGGTCAATGGCTCAATGTCTGGCTGGAGATCAGTAACGAGTGGTGTCCCTCAGGGATTGGTGCTGGGACCGGTCTTGTTTAACATCTTTGTTGGTGACATGGACAGTGGGATTGAGTGCGCCCTCAGCAAGTTTGCCGATGACACCAAGCTGTGTGGTTCAGTTGATACCCTGGAGGGAAGGAATGCCATCCAGAGGGACCTCAACACACTTGTGAGGTGGGCTGATGCCAACCTCATGAAGTTTAACCAAGGTCCTACACCTGGGTCGGAGCAATCCCAGGCACAGCTGCAGGTTGGGCAGAGAAGAGATTCAGAGCAGCCCTGCAGAGAAGGACTTGGGGGTGTTGGTTGATGAGAAAATGAACATGAGCCGGCTGCAGTGTGCGCTTGCAGCCCAGAAAGCCAACCGTATCCTGGGCTGCATCAAAAGAAGCGTGACCAGCAGGTCAAAGAAGATGATCCTGCCCCAATACTCTGCTCTCGTGAGACCTCACTTGGAATATTGTGTGCAGTTCTGGTGTGCTCAACATAAAAAGGACATGAAACTGTTGGAACAAGTCCAGAGGAGGGCCACAAGGATGATCAGGAGACTGGAGCACCTTCCCTATGAAAATAGGCTGAGAAAGATGGGGCTGTTCAGCCTGGAGAAGGGAAGGCTGCGTGGAGACCTCATAGCAGCCTTCCAGTATCTCAAGCGGGGCTACAGGGATGCTGGGGATGGAGATTGACTATTCATTAGGGAATGTAGTGATAGGAAAAGAGGTAACGGGTTCAAACTTAAACAGGGGAAGTTTAGATTGGATATAAGGATGAAGTTCTTTACTGTAAGGGTGGTGAGGCGCTGGAATGGGTTGCCCAGGGAAGCTGTGAATGCTCCATCCCTGGCGGTGTTCAAGGCCAGGTTGGACAGAGCCTTGTGTATGGTGTCCCTGCCCATGGCAGGGGGGTTGGAACTGGATGATCTTAAGGTCCTTTCCAATCCTAACTATTCTATGATTCTAAGTTCTGGCTGTATTTCATAAAAGTATTCAAGCTTAACAGCTAGAAGCAAGTTATCTTGCTAAACATGAAAATGCTTTTAGTAATATTCGCAAGGAACCTTTCAACTTGCAAGTTTAGTGTTCAAGTAACAATCCAGGACAACTATTACCTTCCTCTGCAAAGAAGCCTCTATTACCCTCCTGCTCCCCATGGGGGTTTAAACATTTTTCAGACTTACTTTCTATCCGTCTTGCTTAACTGATCCATTAATGCAACTGTACAAACCTTTCCATTAGAGAAGCAGGAATTGATACAAATCAATTCTTCTTGCTGCTACTTCTGTGGGTAAAGAAATTCCTTTTCAGGTCTGTAAATACATATGAATTCTACTTCTCTTCTACTTCGTCACAGAACACCAAGTCATGTTTCATAAGTGCAGTGAAGCAAGATACAGTAAGTTCTAACGTTTTGCTGTGCATTCTAATGCCTTTGTTCACAGTGCCAGTAATACCTATGTCTTGAAAAGAAAATCCAAGCAAACAGCATTGCAGAAAATTACTTGGGTTAATTTTGTAAAGACACAGCAATCACAAGGTAGAACACAGCTTACCTTTCGTTTCAGAACACTGAGTTTTTCAACTACTCCATCCAGGAGACTAACGACTGAATCCACAGCAGGACAACTGCTCAGCGTCTTCTCCAGCTCTGCCACCACCATTGTAACGTGGCTGGTCTCTCGGTCAATGTTTTTCTGTGCAGCTCGAAATCGTTTGTTCAGTGTTTCATATGGCACCTAAAGAAACATCAAGTCATTATAACTTCTGTATTAAAATATGTGAGGTCTTCTACAAGTTTAGAGACTGCTGATTTCATCTGATGCACTCAGGACACCTCCGAGGTTGCAGGATACCAGAGGTCATTAATCAAACTTGAGTTCTCTTGTCAAAGCCCTTATTTAAGCCCTCTCAGAAAGCAGACAGCACTTCAAAGATAATGAAAAACCAAACACTGACAGGAAATAAAAGATGGTAGATCCTTCTCTGTTACAGATTTTACCTATCCTGCTTTGACTGCAGCAAGCACTGATGGAAATGGTTCAGGAAGAACCGAAAGCCACAACAAATGCCTATCTAACAAAGAAAAGCAACAAGTTCACTACAACTAGGAGATCACACTTTAAAACATGGCTTTTTAAGTTTACATTTATTTACATTTAAGTTTACATTTATTTCTGTAAGAGAAAGTTAACTGAGTAAGCACAGATAATATACATCAGCTACTGAAATATTTATACATAGTACACCATAGTTATTCAGGAAATCTAATAGGTCTCCTACCTACTTCTGCCCATGAAGGACTACTTATTAATATTAATTCCAGTAGGACTATAACAAGTGCCAAAACAAACTCCATGGAAGCTTTCTTAGTGGGAAAAAAAAAAAACCTGTATAATTAAGTTAGTTAAATTCTTCCAAGGCTCCATTCCTCAGTGTGGAGACTAACCAGTCTTGAAGGTCTCCTGTCCCACTTGTTCCACGCCTTTATGGAACAACCACATCCAAACCGCTACTGATGGGAGTTAGGGACACACGTACAGGAGCAGTCTACAGCCTGGTTGAACTTTTAAGGTAACTGACTGATTTGGGGAAAGCTGACAGTAAACACTGAGCTACTCCCATCATTTTGCCTCCACTGCAGTAACAGCATGAGTAATCCAGACAGGAAGTTCTATTACTTCACAGAAACAGGAATTTTAGAACTAAAACCATTCCGGTGTTATACACTTAATTCACCTATATCTTTTATCTTGAAAAAGTCCACCAGAGGTTCTTTCATACAGTTATGATAGTTTTGATTGCTTTTCCATTAATCAGAGGTATCATTTAGCTAGCAATCACATTACACATATTAAAGGTAAACCAGGAAATGCAAATCAGTGCTCTGTTTAGTACCACATATATGTTTGATTATAGATCTTTCAAGTATAGCACTTCTAATCAATTACATCAGGTTTGCCTCCATTTTCTTTCTTCTAATCACTGGCATACAAGTAAGTATCCCCAGGGTCCACTCTACTTTTAGACTCTATTAGGAGAGAGGTTACTACTAGAGATGCACTTTGAAACAGTTATGCTCAAAGTAAGGAAGATGTGCCAAAGATTCATAGGATCAAGGACTTGCTTTCCAAGACTGTATAACCCACAATAGATTGTTCTTATTTGTAGCAGAAGTACAACACAAGCATTCTTCTGATAAGATATAAAAGGGCTCCTCTTCCTCTCAGAAACACTGAAATGATCTTTTTAATGTTTTTTGGCATCACAAACTAAGACCTAGTCAAATGACAGAACAAGCCCCTACCACAGGAAGTATCACACTAGACCAATTATTTTCCTCATATATCCTTCCCTAAAATCCCAGCCCAAGTCCTGCAACTCAAACCACATAAACCATCACAATACATGAGTCTTCAATACCTAGTTAATTGTCTATATAATAATTTTCTATTCTAACTTCAGCTATTCTTTGCCTTCATTTCCTCATAATGATAGGTTTTAAAGCCCCATAGATAGAATGGGCATTGAGGCAAAGAGGGGGCATTATTTTGAACATGCTTTGAACATGGAAGCCTATTTCCAACTCCAAGACTTGATGCCAGACAGCATCAAGACAACTTCTTCCCTTTTTCTCCACTGCATTTTTCTTAGTATTCATCAGAAAATAAGTTTCCCTCAGCTACTCACATCTACTGAATTTAACTTCTACAGGTACTTTGCAAATCAGCTTTCCATGCCACGCTGAAAAGCTACATCAGTCAGGACCTCCACAGCTATTACTGATTTGAGGTATCTGCTTGACTGCAAAAAGTAGTTTTGTTCAATTTTGAGCAGTCAGTTGAACTGAACTGAGCACAGATCCAGTCAGTTTGAAAAAAAAAAAATTATCTAGGTTTAATCTCCTTTTCCTTGTAGTTTCTTATCTGAACACAAGAGCAGTAACAGTTCCCGTTTCCCATGCTCTGTCTCTTTAGTTTCTGGCAGAGGCTATGATCATATGGCATTTAGAACAATTGCACTTTCAATTTCGACTGCCATCATTATATAGCATTTCTAATGTGTTTAGGTGCAATAGGTTTGAATCTTGTTTTATCTTTATTTTTTTCCCTACTCCCAAAAAACATCTGAATATCCTGTGTGGAAGGGACTAGTAGTTGGTTTACTATATACTTTGAAAGCAAATACAAATAAATATATTACAACTGAAACTGACAGTAAGTTTTTCATAATCTACGTGGGAACTTGTTTCTTACTACAGAGCTATACTATAAGTTATATCCAGGTACAGCTTTCACACTTACCTTACAGGACTAGATCCTACAAGTGCCAAAATTTAGAACATTCCTTACTGAGAAAGCATCTTATCTCAACTCTGCATCTTGAGCAGCTGGCTCTTTTGTTACTAATACAGCTCCTATGCTCCAAGAAACCCCATTTCCCAGCATTAGTTTGATTTACTGCAGAACTCCTCAGGCACTGTACCACTGATTTTTTTTTTTACCCTAACAATGAAAGTAAATGGAAGGAGAACAGAACAATGCTCTAGAAGATGTATTCCTAAAAATTCTTAATTATGGTTCACTTTAATTTTCAGGTACCACAGTACAAAATAGCAAACACCAAACATTTTGGACTAACAGACAGCTGCCACAAGTCTATTAGACACTTTCCACTTTATGTCACTGCCAGTGACATCTCTGTAACCAAACCTGGATTACATGCTTACTCTTCAGGGGCAAGAGTGACCTGCAGAATTCAGCCTAGGGAAGCATTACCTTAAGCTGCTAAGTAGCGACAAAAATTGAAATAAAGCAGCAAGGATCAACCAGAATGTATTGTGTAGAAGCACAATACCAACTTGTTCCATCCACTCGAGCTTGAAAACCACACCTCAGTAGGCTCATACCATAAGCACACAAGAAAATATAAAGGAGAGATGTAAAATATGTGGGCCGCATGTTTAAATTCAGTGTCACTAAATAGATTCTGCTGCTTTTGTTCATCAGCTGCCGAAACAGGATTCAACTTAACCATGTACTAAAGCAGGTCAACCTTAAACCTAAGGAAAAGGAATTTGACTTAAGTTAGAACAGCACATTAAGAGGTGAGCAGAGCTAAGAACGTCAGAAGATGCTTTTTTAGCTCACACTTAGGACTTCAACTGTGATGCTACCTGGCCTTCAGCCCAAACACACTGTTCTTCTAGCCCATGAACAGGAATAAGCTATGAAGGCAACACTGATTAGGTCTAAAACCATGGAGTAGCTAAAACTGCTTAAGCTGTCCAACTGCAGGTAATATTTCTTTCAGTAAGTCACATCAAAATCAACTTGAAATACCCTTATATATAGTGAATTTAATAATGATATTAAATATATTCCCTTCAACATAAATTTTTCAGTAAGCCATTAATTTACTGATACCAATTTCTTAATCTTTCTGAGTACATATTAAAACTAGAAACAGCAAGTATTCAATGCTTGCATATATTCTATCCTGATGGTCTGCAAACTGTATATGCTTCCTGAGTGTTTCTTGAAGATCTACAAAAAAGTTACAGAAATAAAACTAAGTCAATCTTCTACACAGAATCCTACAATGCATACCTACCTTGGTTTTCACATTCAATACCAACATTTTAATGAGATTCTTAAGTTTCCTCTTCTTCTTAAGGATTTTAAAGTGTATCTATGTGTACATTTATGTACATCCATAAATCAAATATATAAAAACAGAAAATCTACTGTAAAAAAGCATGCCTGAGAACACACTTTTAACAACATAGAAAGGGAGAGCAGAATGCAAGTCATTTCCCCCTGCATAGAAGCTCATTAATTATAGTGATCAGAACTTAAAAAAAAAACCCTACTTCAATGGTATTTATGTTGGAGGGAGCCAGACAGCCAGACTGGACTTCTTATGCTGGTTTTAGTGCCTTGAATTCCACTAAGCAGCTTAATGGCATCTTAAGAATGCGGCAAAGTTTCAGCCTCAACACATACTTGCAGCTTCCATGACAGACACCGTCACTCACTCAGCACCTGGGGTTTCTGAGAACTAAGTGAAGACATACAAAGCTAAAGGGTGCTGTGCTTGGGAGAAAATATGAGATAACAGGAGAAATATGAATAGTGGCAAGGTATTCTTCACAAAGGTGCTATAGTCCATCAGCCATAATGGAGGGAAAGCATTCCAAGTCACAGCTAGAAATCCAGCACTTGTTAACATCATGGCCAACATACACATCCACTTTATTCAACTGGAGTTTAGACTCAATTGTAATTACAAGGGCTTCATAGACAGATGAGCAGCATAAGGAAGAGGAAAAGCATCTACAGAATTGAGTTTGTGACCTAGCAACAAAGGACAACAGAAAGTCTCATGTCTAAATGCTGCCTCTGTCTTTAATAGTGAAGTCTTCTACTAAGCCTTCCTGATTACACATGAGCTATTGAGTCTGGAAAGAGATGCACTATTTGCACGAAAACTTTAAAGCAAGCTGAAGACATACAGGTACATGGGACCAGAAAGAATAATGGTTGGTGGTTTAAAAGCTACCCAGTGGCCAATTACAAGCACTGCCTGATTCCTGAGGAATGTTATCAGCTTTAACATACACATCCTCTCCAGCCATCTGCACTATGGAACAGAATATGCAATCAGTAAGCTCACAGAGGACAACACATTGGTGGAATGCTTGATAATTCTGGGTGACAGAGCTGCCATTCAGAAACAT